CCCCAGGATGCTGAGGCATGTCCCCTGATATAAATCACACTCTCATACTACCTCTCTCACCATTCTGCTACTCTTAACCTCTGGAGACATATCCCCTCCTGGGCCTCCTTTAAGTAACGGCAACCAATCCACAAAATTTAGACTCCATTCCTCTTCTTCCCAATACCAGTCTACCCTTTTCCTGTGCCCAAACTGCAACAAACTCACCTCTGTTCATGACCTCTTTGTCACTAACTCCTTTCATCCACTTGCTGTCACCGAAACCTGGCTTCATGAATCCAACACTGCTTCTCCTGCTTCAATCTCCCACGGTGGCCTTATCTGGAACCACTCCCCCAGACCCAGTGGACACAAGGGAGGTGGAGTGGGAATCTTCCTATCCACACAGAGCACCTTTCAGGTTCTTCACTCTCCTCCCTCTCTGTCCCTCTAATTGTTCGAAGTTCACTGTGTATGTCTATTTTCTCCAATTTTTTAAGAATTGCTGTCACCTACCGCCCCCTAGATCGTTAACAACTTTCCTTGATCACTTCTCTGCCTAGCTACCCTACTTTCTGTCTTCTGAAATTCCCACAATCATTCTCAGTGACTTCAGCATCCATGTTAATACTAACACTCTTGCTATTTCTAAACTTCTTAGATCAACCTCCGCATTGGACCTGAAGCAATGGTTACATGCTCCTACTCACTCCTGACCTTGTATTCCCCTACCTATGTACTCTGTGCAACCTCTACAAAAATTATTTTCCTCTCTCTGATCAACACATTATTAGTTTCATTCTCTCACTGTCTTCCACTACATCTCCCTCCAACTGCCTAACAATTACCCTTAGAGACCTTTGCCACTTTAACCTTTCTCTTCTCCACTGTGCTACTGACCACCTCTATGACAATATCTCACCCCTGTCTTGCCCCAATCTAGCCACTTCTGTATACAATAGATCCCTGTCCTCTTCCCTGGACAAGCTCACCCCTCTCACTACACACAGAATCAGGCCCTGACCCTCAAACAGACAACACCAGAAGTCTCAAAAATTGCAGCCGAGCTCTTGAGCATCTGTTGTGTAAGTCTCACAAAGACTTTAACCAATGTAAAACTGCCCTGCAAAAAATACAACTCTTGCCTCCACACTGCCAAGCAAACCTATTTTATCACTCTCATTAACTCCTTCTCATCCAGTCCCTGTCAACTCTTCTCTACCTTTAACTCTCTCCTTCATCCTCCTCTGCCTCCACCCACTAACTCACTCACTGCGCAGGAAAACGCCAATCACTTCAATAATAGGATCGATGCAATTCGTAGTGAAATCTGCACTATACAGATAACTCCCCCACTTAACACCCCCCATTTCCACAGGTCCACTCAACACTACCCTTATTCAAGCTTTCTACTACAGAAGAGGTTGCTAAACTTCTTTCTAATGCCCACCTAGCCACCTGTCCCCTGGACCCTATTCCCTCTCAAATACTGCGATCACCCTCTGGCTCTATTCTACACTCTCTAACTCACATCTTCAATCTCTCTCTCTATTCTGGCTTCTTTCCCAACACTCTAAAACATGCACTAGTCACCCCCATACTTAAAAAGCCTTCCTTATACCCCCACCTATCTTAACAACCTACACCCCATCTCCTTGCTCCCCTTTTCCTCCAAACTCCTTGAACACCTGGTCTATAACCAACTGAGCAACCACCTCATCAAGAATACCCTTTTATATCCCCTTTAGTCTGGATTTCACCCTCGACACTCCTCAGAACTGCTCTCCTAAAACTCATAAACGATTTACTAGCAGCAAAAACCAATGGACTCCTATTCTGTACTCCTACTTCTGGACCTGTCAGCTGCCTTTGATATGGTTGACCACCCCCTCCTTCTCAAAAAGCTTTACTCCCTTGTTATCCATGACTGTGCTCTTTGTTGGTTCTCATCCTACCTATCCCATTGCACCCTCATTGTCACTTACAATTCTACTTCCTCCTCTCCTCTTCCTTTTCCGTTGGGGTCCCCCAAGGTTCTGTTCTTGGACTTCTCCTATTCTCAATCTACACCTCCTCCCTGGGTCAGCTGATAGCCTCCCATGGCTTTCAATATCAAATCTATCTTTCTACTCCTCAGCTCACAACAACAGTCTCCTCGCGTATCACTAACTTACTGATCGACATATCAGCCTGGATGTCACACCACTTTCTCAAACTCAATCTATCCAAAACTGAGCTCCTAATATTTCCTCCCCCACGTGCCTCTTCCCCTGACTTCTCTGCCAAGATCAATGGCACAATCATCAATTCCCATCCCTGCATGCCAGGGTGCTAGGTGTAATCCTGAACTCTGAACTCTCCTTTCGGCCCCACATCCAATCACTTTCCAAAGCTTGCCATCTCAACCTCCGCAACATCTCCTCCTCCTCTAGCTCTTAATTCATTCCCAAGTCATCTCTCGCCTCGACTACTGCAACTCCCTCCTCATTGGATTACCTTTACATAGGCTATCCCCCCTCCAGTCCATCATGAATGCTGTTGTCAGACTCATCCACCTTACCAACCATTCAGTGCGGCTAATCCCTATCTGCCATTCCTTCCATTCACTCAAATTAAATTCAAAATACTAACAACAACTTACAAAGCCATCCACAGCTTGGCCCTCAGCTACATCACTAACCTAGTCTCAAAATACCTACCAAATTGCGCTCTTTGTTCCTCCCAAGGCCTCCTGCTCTCTAGTTCCCTTGTCACCTCCTCCCATGATCACCTGCAGGACTTCTCAAGAGCCTTTCCCATCCTATGGAATTCCCTACCCCAATATGTCCTACTATATCCTACTCTGTCCACTTTTAGGCGATCCCTGAAAACCTTTCTCTTCAGAGAAGCCTATCCTGCCTCCACCTAACAACTATACATGTATTTTCTCCAGTGGCTCATCCCTCAAAGTTATTACCTTTTGTATCACTTGACCCCCCCCCCCTTGTAGATTGTAAGCCCCCATAGTTATTACCTTTTGTATCACTTGACCCTCCCCTTGTAGATTGTAAGCTCTAACAATCAGGACCCTATGATTCCACCTGTATTCAATTGTATTGTAACTGTACTGTTTGCCTTCACATTGTAAAGTGCTAAATCCCCCTGCAAAATGGATTTAGTGGAGAATCTGATATTTCTCTCAGCAAGACCCATTATTAAAGATTGTCCCATTATCAAAAACATAAAATGCTAATGATAAAAAGATGTACAGTACAGAATAAAAATCAGATAATTTAGTAACATAATGTAGCACCCTCCTTGTCAGCTAGGGGGAGCTAGACCACAATTGTTAACTAGGAGGGTTGAGTAGCAGCCAGGGTGTGATAGCTAGCAGGGGTCAAACTTTGGTCAGAAATGAGAGGCTCTGCAGACCAGCCCTCTGGAATTTCCCCCTGCTCTAAAAACTGTGGAGAAAGGTCTAGAAGTAGTGGGTGGATCTGAGGGGTGGCTGATCTGCACTTTTGAGGGGGCCTGGCCAATCTCCAATAGGAGGCTTGACAAGGAGCCAGATCAACCCTTAGAAATGAGAGAGCCTGCTCAGCTTCAGGAGAAGACAGAGAGAGAATGTGAGGCTAAAGGCCTAGGAGGAAGCCCAGATGGAGAGAGGGATTACCAACAGGCAGTGTTAGGAATGGACTTGCCAGTAATGGTGGGACTCACCTGCCTTGTGGGCTGCAGTACCAGGGCTGGCCAGCGGGTGCTCCCAGCAATCAGAGACTCAACCCTGCAGCCAGCCAAACACCTGAAACTGCTTAGGCAGGTGTATTTAAGTGATGGCCAGACCTGCAGTCTTTGCCTTGGTGTGTGGTTTTCCTGGGCCCTGTATCTTGTTCCTGCATCCCTGTTCCTGTTCCTGTCTCTGTCTGATTCGTTGCTGACCCTGCCTGATCCGACCTCTGCTGACTTCTCCTGCTTTATCCCTGGCTTGTGACCCCAACCATTCTCTGTCTGACCCCCCTGTACCTACCTGCCGATTGTTATTGACCCGGCCTGCCTGACGACGCTTGCATTGTATGTACTGTTATCTGTGGGTGGTTTGGTTTGGTTCATTTGCACTGTGTTATGTTTTAGTATTGCACTGCGTTTATGTTTGTATTGTTAGTCTTTAATAAAATTATATTGTTTATAACTTATCTGAAGTCTGCGTTTCCCTGCGTCAGTCACACACACCTCTGGTCATACCCTGGAGCCCTGACATTACACCAAGGCCAATCCTGACCAGAAGTGGCTGCACAGGGAAGCCATCTTGGCTTGTTGATGGGAAGGATGGATCTTGATGAGGTTGTGTATTTATATCTGCTAGTGTTTGATGACAGAGAGTATGCTTATCAGACTCTGAGGGAGTATCCCAGGGATGAACTGCTAGAATGTATACGGCTCACTCATGTTCTAGTAGATCAGGGCACAGAATTCTCTGAGGTGCAGCCATTGATTCAGGTTTGTGCGGAGTTGGTTTCATCTGGTACCCCCCGAATGCAGGGATGAATTTTTGCCGCCATTTAGTGCCGACCAGGTAGAGTCCCTGGTATGGTTATTAGAGGATGATGTGGATTGCTTTCTGGAGCGTTATTCTGCATGTTCACCACAGATACTAAGAGATTGTATAAACGCAGTGCAGTCATTGACCAGACAGGCTTTGTGTAAACTGAGCTTCGTTCAACCCATACTGCAGACATGGTCAGACTTGTTGCACCCAGGCTCAGTCAGCTTACAACATCATTCCACCATTCAAGGCACTCTTCCTACATCCCCGACAGCACCCCAGTGACTGCCCAGTATACTCTAACTACCACATACCAGTCCTCTGCTCCCACTCGCTGCACCTATCCTTTCTTTAACCCTGTAAAGAAGTCCTCTGTAGCAACTGCTCCCTCCTCTGTTCCATCTTCCAGCTCTTCTCTGTCCTCAGCTGCTCCATTCGTTTGCAGACCTGCGTTTACTTGCAGTGCCCCAGTAGTTAAAACCAGAAAAAAGCGGAAATTCTTTCCAACCAGTACCATCCTGCCAGTATCCAAACCGGTGAGCCTGCCGTCTGAGAACCTGCCTTCCGTGGTTCTGCCTGGTGCCTCGGCACCCGCACTTCAGCCTGATGTCTGTACCCAGCCTGATGTCTGTACCCAGCCTGATGAACTGATCCAGCCTGATGATCCTATCACGCCTGATGACCCGGTGCCCACTGTCATGCCTGGTGACCCGATGCCCGCTGTCGAGCCAGACGATCCAATGCCTGATGACCAGTGCCCGCGGTCATACCTGGTGACCCGATGCCTGCTGTCGAGCCAGATGATCCAATGTCTGATAACCCAGTGCCCGCTGTCATGCCTGGTGACCCGATGCCCGCTGTCGAGCCAGACGATCCAATGCCTGATGACCCAGTGCCCGCTATCATGCCTGGTGACCCGGTGCCCGCTGTCAAGCCAGACGATCCAGCGCCAGATGACCCGGTGCCCGCTGTCGATCCAGACGATCCGGTACCTGATGACCCAGTGCCTGCTGTCATGCCTGGTGACCCGATGCCCGCTGTCGAGCCAGACGATCCAACGCCAGATGACCCGGTGCCCGCTGTTGATCCAGACGATCCGGTACCTAAGGACCCGATGCCCGCTGTCGAGCCAGACGATCCAATGCCTGATGACCCAGTGCCCGCTGTCATGCCTGGTGAACTGATACCCGCTGTCGAGCCAGACGATCAAGCGCCAGATGACCCGGTGCCGCTGTCGAGCCAGACGATCCGGTACCTGATGACCCGGTGCCCGCTGTCGTGCCAATTGACTCAGAGCCCACTGTCGTACCTGGTGACCCGGTGCCCACTGCCTTGCCAGATGACGCGGTGCCCGCTGGCGAGCCAAATGACCTGATGCCTGGCGACCCAGTGCCCGCTGTCATACCTGGTGACCCGATGCCCGCTGTCGAGCCAGACGATCCAGCGCCAGATGACCCGGTGCCTGCTGTCGAGCCAGACGATCCGGTACCTGATGACCCGGTGCCCGCTGTTGTGCCAATTGACTCAGAGCCCACTGTCGTGCCTGGTGACTCGGTGCCCACTGCCTTGCCAGATGACGCGGTGCCCGCTGGCGAGCCAAATGACCTGATGCCTGGTGACCCAGTGCCCGCTGTCATACCTGGTGATCCGATGGCCGCTGTCGAGCCAGACAATCCAATGTCTGATGACCCAGTGCCCGCGGTCATGCCTGGTGATCCGATGCCCGCTGTCGAGCCAGACGATCCAGCGCCAGATGACCGGTGCCTGCTGTTGAGTCAGACGATCCGGTACCTGATGACCCGGTGCCCGCTGTCATGCCAATTAACTCAGAGTCCACTGTCGTGCCTGGTGACTTGATGCCCACTGCCTTGCCAGATGACGCTGTGCCCGCTGTCGAGCCAAATGACCTGATGCCTGGTGACCCGATGCCCGCTGTCCAGCCAGATGATCCAATGTCTGACCCAGTGCCAGCGGTCATGCCAGTTGCCTCGGAGCCCACTGTCGTGCCTGGTGACTCGGTACCTGTCGCTCCGCCTGGGGGTCCGGCGCCCGCCGCTCCGCCTGGGGGCCCGAGGCCTGTCGCTCCGCCTGGGGGTCCGGCGCCCGCCGCTCTGCCTGGGGGCCCGAGACCTGTCGCTCCGCCTGGGGGTCCGGCGCCCGGCCACTCCGCCTGGGGGCACAAGACCTGTCGCTCCGCCTGGGGGTCCGGCGCCCGCCGCTCCGCCTGGGGGCCCGAGGCCTGTCGCCCTGCCTGGGGGCCCGGTGCCTGTCGCCCCGCCTGGGGGCCCGGTGCCTGTCGCTCCGCCTGGGGGCCCGGTGCCTGTCGCTCCGCCTGGTGGCCTGGTCCCTTTCGCTCCGCCTGGTGGCCCGGTGCCTGCTGCTCCGCCTGGTGATCCGATGTGCCTCTACCCGGAGTCCAGCCCGATGTGCCTCTGCCCAATGTGCCGCTGCCCGGAGTCCTGCCCGATGTGCTGCTGCCCGGAGTCCTGCCCGATGTGCCGCTGCCCAGAGTCCTGCCCGATGTGCCGCTGCCCGGAGTCCTGCCCGATGTGCCCCTGCCCGGAGTCCCTGCCCAATGTGCCGCTGCCCGGAGTCCTGCCCGATGTGCCGCTGCCCGATGTGCCGCTGCCCGGAGTCCTGCCCGATGTGCTGCTGCCCGGAGTCCTGCCCGATGTGCCGCTGCCCGGAGTCCTGCCCGATGTGCCGCTGCCCGATGTGCCGCTGCCCGGAGTCCTGCCCGATGTGCCGCTGCCCGATGTGCCGCTGCCCGGAGTCCTGCCCGATGTGCCGCTGCCCGGAGCTGCCCGATGTGCCGCTGCCCGGAGTCCTGCCCGATGTGCCTCTGCCCGGTGTGCCGCTGCTTGGAGTCCAGCCCGGTGTGCCGCTGCCCGGAGTCCTGCCCGATGTGCCAGTCTTTGATATCCCGCCAGTTACCAGACCCGGGCGGTGGAACATTTTGCCCAGCTAGGACTGTTTGGAGTGTCCTGAGGCCACTCCTTGAGGGGGGAGTACTGTTAGGAAAGGACTTGCCAGTAATGGTGGGACTCACCTGCCTTGTGGGCTGCAGTACCAGGGCTGGCCAGCGGGTGCTCCCAGCAATCAGAGACTCAACCCCCTGCAGTCAGCCAAACACCTGAAACTGCTTAGGCAGGTGTATTTAAGTGATGGCCAGACCTGCAGTCTTTGCCTTGGTGTGTGGTTTTCCTGGGCCCTGTATCTTGTTCCTGCATCCCTGTTCCTGTCTCTGTCTGATTCATTGCTGACCCTGCCTGATCCGGACCTCTGCTGACTTCTCCTGCTTTATCCCTGGCTTGTGACCCCGACCATTCTCTGTCTGACCCCCCTGTACCTACCTGCCCGATTGTTATTGACCCGGCCTGCCTGACGACGCTTGCATTTTATGTACTGTTATCTGTGGGTGGTTTGGTTTGGTTCATTTGCACTGTGTTATGTTTTAGTATTGCACTGCGTTTATGTTTGTATTGTTAGTCTTTAATAAATTATATTGTTTATAACTTATCTGAAGCCTGCGTTTCCCTGCGTCAGTCACATACCTCTGGTCATACCCTGGAGCCCTGACAGGCAGTGAAGGTGGAAAGGACAAAAACCCAGACCCCCAGAGCGAGGACAACCTGTGAAGCAGGAAAAGTGCGGCTCAGCTAGAAGGCCTGGTAGCAGCCACTGACCCACCAGGAGATTGAGTGAGTAACCCTGCACTCCCGGGGCCAGATAGGGGAAGGGGGCACTCTGTTGGGAAACCAGATTCGCTGCCTTCTGGAGCTGTCTAATTTCTTAAAGCAACAGGCTCCAGATCCTCTGCTTGGGGATACCTCCAGACAACTGGGTAAAGAAAAGGAGTTTATCTGGGGTCTGGGGTGGTACTACAGGAGATGCTGGATAGCTCTTAAAAAGAGTGTGTTTGCAGTAGAGACTTGTAAATAGGTCCAGAAAGTTATCCTCAGTTCATTGGTTCCATTGGGATCTCATATACCCCTTACCTCATCCCAGTTCAAATCCCCCTAATAAAACATAAAAAACAAGATAATAACTGATTACTGATTCCTGAATTCAAGTCTGTGAAAAAAAACATGTTTCTTAGCTGTGCAGGACTATAGGGGGACCCAAATACTCAGAAACTCCTAAGGGGGTAGTGCTACAATAAGATAACTACTAAAAGCCAGTATAATAAATATGTTTTTTACTGGCATGAATAAGCATCAAAACATTAAAACAAAGACTACTATCTTGAGGAGCCCCAAAGTCCACACCATAAATGTCAGAGGTCCACATGTGGTCCCAAAATCTTCAGGTGGGGCATCAGGGCTTTAAAAGCACAGTTAGCAGAAATAGTTGATAAAAGGGGGGAGGGATTCTCTGTTTTTCGTTGGCCCATTTACCATGTTTACTATGACCAGGTGTAAAGAAAGTACTGGTGGAGGGGCTTGTTGGTACTCTAACAGCTTAGCATCATTGGAGGTAAGTACAGCAGCAGGACCAGGGGGGGGGCAGAAGAGGTCAGGTCACATTTACAAATTTTCTATAAATGCGACATAACATTTTACATTTTAAAGTTTGATATGAACATTGTTTAGCCACACAGCTTCATCCATTTCCATGGTGTGGGCGGGAGGCTTTGATGCCTGCACCTTATCAATGAGTGACGCTGCATCCCCTGGTCACACTTTTTAAAACTAAAAAACAAAGTATGGCTTTAGATACAATTGAAATATCACTTATGAGTGGACTTACCCTTTCAGGAAAAGGTGACAAAACAGATAATTTTGTAGCGCTCTCCTCTAGTTAGGTTGTTAGGCTAAATTTAGTTTTCTGCCTCACTGTAGTCAGTGGAGCAGTGATCTGCTGTTTCTGTTTGGTCAGGGCTTTCTAAGCTGCATGCTTGATTTCTCCCACCTGCTTCTAGGAGATGCTTCCAGAATATAGGGCAGGGGGAGTCAAATATCCAGTTATGAATATTTATCATGCCTTCTGTCCAGAAGGTGGATGGGGAGGTGATAAATATTTGGAGTGGTTGGGCAGAGGGTTTTTCCTCTGCTAGGAGGGTTCATATTCTACTGGGGCTGCTGTCCCTGGGAGGCATCTAGAGTTTGCTGAAGAATAACAGTTTGGGCCTCAACAGGTGCTGGGCTAGGGGCCTGGAGAATATTACTAAAATAATTTTTGCTGGAGGACACTGCCCTGAAGTCCTGCTTTAGAGAAGAATCTTTTATGTCCCTCACTGAGGAACTACCTGTGGAGGCTGGGTGACAGTCAGCTCCTGGAACATTGTAAGTACAAGCTACTGTGGGACTTTAATGTGTATCTGCAGCTAGAAGGTTTTGTGCTTGAAGTTTGCCCTTCTATTCATCATTATTGGAGTATCCTGAACTCCCAAACCTCTCTCTTGCTTCAAGTTATTCAGCAATTCCAAAAAAAAAAAGACATTCCCTATCCTGAGCCTGTATTGTTGGTGTGCATGGAAATGTGTTTGTGACTGGCAACCTCTGTATTAGTTAGGGAAACCCAGGGTAATATACAGCAACCCCTGGGGGTTAGCGCTACATTTTTATTCCAAAGGCCACATGATTTTAGGAAAAATAGATTTCTGTAAGGTCTCTTTTTACTGTGTAAATCCAACACAAAAAAACACTTTCTCCTGCGCTAGGAAAGGACTCAGTAGACCCAATAGGAATGTTCTGGAATTTTCTGGAATATGCACTGCTTGCTACCCTCAACAGACCAGGGTGGTTCAAATACACTGGATGCAAATGGAGAAACAGAGAAAGAGAGAAAGGGTGCACCGACCTAGTGCATTATCATTTAAAATATTTATTGAAGAAACAAAGTAAGTATCATACTCACAATAGCCATAAAAACACAGTTATGTCAGATGGAACAAAATGTATGATCCAAACAACATCTGAGTCCATACGTTGGAACCCTGGATGTCCAGCTGGCTAACGCGTTTCGAGGACTCAACAACCTCTTCCTCAGAGCCAACCTTGTTTCTTCAATAAATATTTTAAACAATAATGCACTAGGCCAGTGCGCCCTTTCTCTGTTTCTCCATTTGCATATTTTTACTGTGTAATACTATAATCTTGCCTCTTGAAATGATTTGTCTTTAAAGCAAACCTGTCACCAAACCTGGGTAAATCAATCTGAAAGAATTAACCACTTCAGCTCCAGGCCATTTCTGGCACTTTTTGTTTACATGTTAAAATCAGTATTTTTTGTCGGAAAAATGTCTTAGAACCTTCAAGCATCATATATTTTTTTAAAGAAGAGGCCCTAGAGAATAAATTGGTGTTTTTTGCATTTTTTTATGTGACATGGTATTTAACAGCGCAGCAGTTTTTCAAAACACAATTTTTGGGGAAAAATACACTTTTTTGAATCTTCGTGCAAACAAAAACAATACATAACCCAATTTTTGCAAAATATAAAATATGATATTACGCTGCGTGAATAGATATCAAACATGTCACGCTTTAAAATTTCGCACACACCGTGCAACGGTTATAAACAACATAATTTTTACTATTCATAGGCGACATTTTAAAAGCCTTTACAGTTTACCACTTTAATTTTACAGAGGTCTAGTGCTAGAATTACTGCCCATGATCTGACATTCAAAGCAATACCTCACATTTGTGGGACGAACGCTGTTTGCATGGCGCGTGGGACTGATCCCCTTTATGGAGGGATCAGGGTTGTATAAGACCTCAAATACTTCCTCTGCACTTGAAAGCATTC